TGAAAATCTGGACATTTTTGGAACAGTCAATGTATAAGATTGATCAATTTTGTCCAAAAGTATAGCTATGTAGCAAATTCAATTACAAACTTGAAAGCATAGTTAGCATGCATGTATGATGAATTTAATATAATGACATGTTTACAAACACTGAATGTCTTTTTTGATAAATATTCAATTCATATAATTTTTCCAACTTTTCCTATCTCTGTATTGGAATCATCTAAGAATGAAATGAGTGTTTTTTTCATGTAATTAACAAACTGTCTCTGAGCAATCTTCTGATAAAAACAGACAGTTATGCTGATAAAAGGCATGAAAACAGAGTTAAGTACATATAAATGGGAATTTAACAAGACAGCTGTATCAGATATAAGGACTCTATATCCTCATGATCAGCCCGTAATGGTTAAGAACCTGTCCGATATTATAGTTATAGAGCCCCTGTAAGCTGTACATGGCAAACTTCTGTTTCAGCCGCGTGATTACGGACTTCCTGTGGCGCGGCCCCAGTGTAATGAACACTGCCTTCAGGCTTCTTTAAACAAGATATATGTAATCATTTCAACACATTTTTTGTGAATCGTGCACATCTTGTTTTTCGTTATCATTTTCACACTCCCAACCCTTTGTATGGATATATATATGTTCAACAGATAACCCGGTATCTCACGATCAAGTACATGTACTACATATTGTGAAGGAAGTTTCCTTGTCGTGATATGCACTCATGCATTCTTGTATACTGTATTTAAGATTTTGTGTACAAGTAATTATAAGACATTTTATGTCATCCAACCAGTCATTATGACATGTAGGTGTGATTTAAAACATTAGATCTCCAGGTTGATTTCTGATCTGTTTTGTTAAACTCATTAACCCCTGAAGTTCCATAGTGAACTATTCCAACCTTTGAATTGGAAGGGTTCAAATGTTACTTCAGGGGTGAATGAGTTAAATTACTGGGTCCTCTGATAGATAAATATATAACTGTGGGAAATTTTAACTATACATAGGATTACAGTCGCCTTCTAGCTTTAAACTAGAGGGAATTTCCCTTTAGCTCAGTGGTAGAGCGTCCGACTAGGAAACTGGAGATCGAGGGTTCGATCCCCGGTGGAAGCACACTATTCTCTTTCCCGTTACAAATGGTGTCCGTGGCCCTCTCTGTGGTGACAGGGAGTTAGAACCTGGGTTGTGGTGTTCGAACACAAACACATTTAAAAAGGGGGGAGTAGTGTGGCAGATTTTAATTGTACATAGCTATAGGATTATGGTCGCCTTCTACCTTCTAGCTTCCCTTTAGCTCAGCGGTAGAGCGTCCGACTATACAGATGTAGCTAAGAACCTATTGGCATTGTGGGTTCGATTCCCGTTGGAAGCACACTATTCTTTTTCCTGTTACATAACAAAGAAAGCTGCAGGTCAAAATATCCCCCTCCCCAAACAAACAAAAAAAAAAAAAAAATCAACAACATTTATTTCTGCTATGTACAGTATAAATGATTTTTGTTAGGAAGGAACTGTGCTTTTATTTACATGCTCAAGACAGATCCCTCACACGTTCAGTATTTCTAAATATTTTTGATACATTTCTCATTGTAACGAAAGCTTTAGAAGATGTTAAATAGCACAAAAACATAACGTATAGTATTGATAATTACACTATATTTATAGTTTTACTTCCGAACTCTCTAGTGTGAGGAGGTTACCATGTTTGTTTCGTTAGTCACTCAGACAGGAGTTTTTATTTTAATTTATACACATTATCGGACACAAAATCACCATATAGAAAATCACAGCTATACATATTTGCCAACCTTTTAAAAGTTCCATGTGGGTGATTCTGCATGCTCAAAATTAAAAACATAAATAAAATGTGTGTATACACGTTGTATGAACCTATATATAGACAATATAACCCTTTAAAGTGACATATTCTGAGTTTTCTTTCAGACAAAATCATATAATTAGACCTTAGAATATAGGAATAGTTTATCAAATTCACAGGTTGGAAATATTACATTTAGGGTCCAAAACAGGGATTAATTCTCACTTCTGAAAAGGGAGAGTTGGCAAGAATGCAGCTAAGTAATTAATGGAATTTATTAGATCTTCTTTCCTAATGCAAAAATGTTTCAAGCATACTGCAGTGATATACACAAAATATAAGATAAACTATGTGTATACATATCCATGGTATGTATTGATCATGGTCAGTTTAGGGTCAAACTGGACATAAATATGTATAGCCTTAGGTCAGATGGACAATCACTGGACTGTCAAACTGGGCAGATATTTACTTATTATACCAGTACCACTAATACCTATATAAATTACATAAGATTCTGAATAGGGCAGAAATCTCCACATCAAAATGTGTGGACGTCTACCCTACATGTGGATGTCTACTCTACGTCTGGAGTATGGTAGGAAAGGAAAAAATAACCATTAAATTCTCTTCATCTATTTAGTTTCCTTAATAACACCAAATTCAACATTTCTCGGGACTAAAATAGACCCCAGGGCCCAGATTTTCACGAATGATAATACAGGTACCAGGAATTTCCTCAAGAGGGTTTTGAGTAAATACCCTCATGTTATAATCATCACATTAATTAAAAGCCTTATATTAAGACTATAGTAACTACAATGTTTAAAACAAAAGTTCGAATCTTGAACTACACTAATTATGTAGTTAATTTGGAGGATTTATGATGAAATTGTCTGATGGTTTGTAATTTATGAAATGAGTGACTCACTCGATCGCTCACTCCTAATGATTACAAGTGTTTTAGTGACTTGGAGAGAACTGAAGAGCTTCGAAGGCTTATTGGTGTAACAGGAGAGGAAAAATGCACAGCCAGACCGGGGTTCGAACCCGGGACCTTTCAAACTCTAGACTGATGCTCTACCATTAGAGCTATCTGGTTGCCAACAATCAACCCAGTCCAGTTCCGCTACATTGGTAATATTACTAATATATATATATATATATACATTCGTAATATAAATACATTGTACATGTCTTATTGGTAACATATATACAATAACATTGTACATGTCCTGAGCACATTCTTAGCTTGAACTAAAGGCTACTCCTAAATTTTCATCAACAGAATTATCTTATTATAATACCCATAACTTTTCAGTTTCCATGATCCTAAACCACCCTCTATCATCCCTACCAATGCCAATCTACAGTCACCGTCCATCCACATATATACAATATGTTTCCAGTTTTGCTTGTTTGTGCTTTACATCCTTTTACCAACTATGGTCATTTAAGAACACGCCAGGATAGGTTTTGGTGGTGGAGAAAACCAGAATATCCGAGAAAAACCATCAACCTGTGGCCAGTACCTGGTAACTGCCGCCCCCCCCCCCCCCTCCAGCAGGGGTCGAACCCACAAACAAATGATGAAGGGCTATAATGATTGTAAATGGTCAGATGTCACTGCGACCCACTTTAATGTTTCCTGTTAAAAGCATGTAAAATATTCAAATCTCAATGTAATCATTTGTTTTTTCACTTTTTTTTTAAATACATCAAATTCTGCCATGCTTGTATAAAAACACTATCAAATCAAAACAGATTCTATTCTCTTGAATGTTGAGAGACAGGATTTTCTGGAGGCCGTATGTGTTACAACAATTATTAATTAAGCAAGTTATTTTAACTTATATCAATCACTCTTGTTGGCCCAGGTGTTAGGGTGTGAGGGTTCTAAATGTGGGAGCTCGAGGAAACTGGAGTACCAGGAGAAAACCCAGGTCGTCAGACAGGTGACCCAATACCTTTTCACTTCTGATCAGCGAATCAAACCCTGGTTGCCTTGGTGAAAGGCAACTGTGCTATCCACTGCACCACTCTACCACCCTTTATCTTCGCATCTTGTTATTTTGACAACCTCTCTCACAGGTAGACACCCCCAACCTACTAGAACACAGTTCTAACAAAACGGATTTTAAACCGGACATATTTCATGAGACACCCACATGTAGGGTTTCTACATAAATTACATCAATTAGTCACCATTTCCCTATCTTTGGCTTTATAAGTAAGTCAGGTTTTAAACTGAAATGTCAAATTTTAATCATTTCATTCCATGTATATATATCAAACTATAAGCTAAACTGCCCGTGAGCATCATCAATAGATAAAAGATAACGGAACGGAAAGTAAACAAAGATGTTACATAAATTCTGGATCACTTGGCGGATAAAATTTTACATGTCGGACATACACAGACCATATCTAGTTTATTTATCTAGAATTTCATGGTCGGAGTCCACTGGCACATACATTCTAGCAACATTAATATACTCCATGTTCAGTGTTACAGGACTAAAATGGTATATGGTGACAGAAACATTAATTAAACTCACCTGTAATAAGAATTACATTTAATGTGTAAATAACCAGTGGATACATATATAGCCCCAGTCAGTTCATGAGAAAGGTATATGCCTTTGGAATGGAGTTAGTAATACAATCTACAAAATGAACAATGGGTCTATGCAGACATATATTGAGCCGAATGTCTCTCACTGACACTGTTTCGACTGCCCAATTCAATCATACTCTACTTGCTATTTTTTCTGAAACTGAAATTAGCAAACTTATTATATTCAGATACGTATATACAAGCAGATATCGTACTTCTTCCTTGCATTGCAGGGAGGTTTTCCTAGTCTCGGTGAATACACACAGCGGGTTTGTCTGGGACGTCTCCCGAGCGGACAGTGTCAGTGGTCGTTTATACCGGGAGGCTGCCTCATAAATATCGTCAAAATACACAAACGTCATGGCAATATCATACTTTTGTAATAATGCAAAACAATGTGTCATTGAAATAAACAGGGTCTATATATATATGAGAAGAACAAATTCATAATTTAAAACTGTCATCTGAAAATGACACCGAGGGAGACATTATCTGTCGACTGAAAGTCGGGACTCTATCGGGGTCGTTACAACGGCACGGGTTGCTACTTACCGAACGTCAGTTGTTATAAATCCTTTGAATAATTTGTCGAAACTGTCACAATATAAAGTACTTTCATCCCATGATAAAATCTACATCCGTCTCGAATCAAGAAATAGATTCACCAGATGGCCGAGTTGACTCATGTATTTAATTCCTACAGGTGCGCTGCTAGGTCTCTCAAACGCTTGTAAACAAAGGATCTTGATAAGGATGAGGGCGTGTCCCCACTAAAACATTCCACGGACATTGTGTATTGCGCGCAAACGCTTGACGGCGGATATCATTGTTTTACAAGCGCTGGAGTGATAGTGCATGTTAGTTTCAGATGCTGGAATACTATTTCAAGCGAATGACAGGATTTCTCATGACTCAAATAGATCAATATGTAGTTTCCTATCTTTATTGATTTATGTGAATTATGTTCGTAATTATTTCGAGTAATAATCCATATATTCATCATTTGTTCACAATCATCTTTGACAATTTATCTTGACTTGTAAAGTTGTTTAAATATTGGCCGTCAAATATCAGGTACCCAAGGCCATCTATACAGTTTCATGATATTGTCAAGACATACTAGACTTCTGGGTTACATGTATCTTGATTAATATACTTATCTAGAAAAGAGTGGACACGATGACTAATAGTAAAAGACCGTTCAAGTTTAGAACTGCCTAATGATGTCCGTCTAAGCACGGAATTAGATCCAAGTCCGTGGTATAAGCTAGCATTGATCGAGGGAGACCAGAGGATGATCAGGAATGACCAGAGGATGATCAGATCTGACACAGCCTTTCATTGAGCTTCCTCTGACTAATGTTTGTACACAGAGGACACTATATACAAATTGTCGTGGTCTATGTTGTGGGTTATTAAATGAAACTAGATATTATCTCGAACGACAAACTTCCGCCGGAAACTGCACGTTTAAGAGATAATCTACAGGCCACATTCTGAAGGAGTTAGCGTACGACACATTTCATTAGATCTGTGTCTCATGCCTTCCCCAGTATTGGGTACGGACTTATTAAATCGATATCTGAATTTTCTGAATAAACACCATTATTATTAAATTGTATATTAGGGTAACATAGATATACTGCTAACGTCGTCTAATTGCAAACACCGTAAAAACGGTTAATTACAGCGACAAATTTACCACTTTTAAAGAAATTGACGTCAAAAGATGTCAATTTACACACAAATAAAACAAATTTGTCATAAAAGGAATTAGTTCTGATCCTCTTAGATCTTTGCAATTCGATCACCTCAGCATAAAAGTGAGTCTGATGTATTGAATTGAAATGCCTCTCCAACGTTTCATATTTAAACAGAGGCATATAAAGCCAGTAGTATATATACGTCTCCGATTTAAGTAAAGTAATAACTAATTCCCAATAAAACGTCAAATAAGTCAAAGACGTATATATTACTGGCTTTAATTGTCTTTGTTTAAATATAAATCAGTGGAGAGGCATTTCAATTCAATATATCAGACTCATTTCTTATATACGTCTCTGAATAAGTGTACCAAATCTTCACAGATAAATATCCAAATATTTGTATACCTTTGGTTTAAAAGGAGAGGAAGGGTATACATAGTATTGATGTTCGTGTGCCCATATATGTGTGGCGTTATTTCTACTCCGGTGAACAGGAAACGGAAGTTGTGTACACCTTCCCTTTACCGACAATCTCCTGTCTGTCTATGTATGTGCCATGTTTTCATGTAAAACAGCGATATTGAGCTCTGCGTTACACGTACTCAACATAGTCACCACGCTTTTCCTGTTGTTACGAGTGAAACATGGTTAAATAAAACCCTGTCGATACGACGTATGAGACCGTTTACTTGCGTTTTGTATTCGCTGTAAAACACTACTCATAAAATGCCTTACAGACCCTTTTGGTCAAGTACTGATTTTTTTTTTGGCGAAACTGAAATTTTTATTTTAGCAAGTATCACTATATATAATAACATGTGTTGTACCACGTTTACATGTGATACGGAATCAATCAATTGTAGAAGGTTGACTGAACGGATGTTCCGGAACCGTCGACACTTTCCCTAAACGAGAAAAATTGACGATTACCGATTGCAGGTTGAATTTGACATTGGACCTCAAACGGACTTCCACTGACTTAATCTAGGACCCTAGTTTGGAATGCGATACAAATACACACATATCTTATCAGACCTTCGGATCCCGTCTTTCAAGGGGGGAAATACAAATTAAAGAAATTGGAATCAAGACTACCACCCAAGCTTTCAAGAATAAACTGGAGGCTACGACTGCGATCATCTTGGATACCCTTAATATCAAACCATCACTAGTGCGTTAATATTCAAGATGAATATTTCACTGTAAAATGAAGAAGAAGAAGAAGAAGAAGAAGAAGAAGAAGATACTAGAGATTCAAACCAAGGAAATCTAGAAATCGAATCTCCAAGTGACGATTTGTTAATTTTTGTATATATATTTAGCATGTATATTTTAAACGTCTATAGGACCACAAGGTAAAAATACGGGACTGTCGGACGCTGAAGTAAACAAAGGAGTTTAAAAATGGAGTAACATGAAGATACACATATCCCGAATATAACGGAAACGGCAAAGGGAAGCAACTGGAAGTTGTGACCATGTCAAAGTAAATCCTCCGGAAATCAATGCATGGCGCAATACTAACATCAGTTCATGTCGACAGGACCTGACGAAAGACCGTGTAGGGCGTAGGGGTAGGGGTACCCTAGGTATCAAACCATTAAACATTCTAAGGACATGACAAAGAACCATGTACACACTAAGTATCAAACCATTAAAAATTCTAAGGACATGACAAAGAACCATGTACACCCTCAGTATCAAACCATTTAACATTCTAAGGACCTGACAAAGAACCATGCACACCCTAAGTATCCAATTATTAAACATCCAAAGGACCTGATAAAGAACCGTGTACACCCTTAGTATCAAACCATTAAACCTCCAAAGAAACTGACAAAGAACCATGCTCACCCTTAGTATCAAACCAATAAATCTCCAAAGGCCATGACAAAGAACCATGTACACACTAAGTATCAAACCATTAAAAATTCTAAGGACATGACAAAGAACCATGTACACCCTCAGTCTCAAACCATTTAACATTCTAACGACCTGACAAAGAACCATGTACGCCATAAGAATCAAACCATTAAACACCCAAAGGACCTGACAAAGAACCATGTAAACACTTAGTATCAAACCAATAAACCTCCACAGGACATGACAAAGAACCATGTACACCCTCAGTATCAAACCATTAAACATTCTAATGACATGACAAAGAACCATTATACACCCTAAGTATCAAACCATTAAACATTCTAATGACCTGACAAAGAACCATTATACACCCTAAGTATCAAACCATTAAACATCCAAAGGACCTGACAAAGAACCATGTACACCCTAAATATCAAACTAATAAACATTATAAGGACCTGACAAAGAACCATGTACACCCTAAGTATCAAACCATTAAACATTCTAAGGACCTGACAAAGAACCATGTACAGCCTTAATATCAAACCATTAAATATTCTAAGGACCTGACAAAGAACCATGTACAGCCTAAATATCAAACCATTAAACATCCAAAGGACCCGACAAAGAACTATATACAGCCTAAATATCAAACTAATAAACATTCTAAGGACCTGACAAAAAACCATGTACACCCTAAGTATGAAACCATTAAACATTCTAAGGACCCGACAAATAACCATGTACACCCTAAGTATGAAACCATTAAACATTCTAAGGACATGATAAATAACCATATACAGCCTAAGTATCAAACCATTAAACATCCAAAGGACCCGACAAAGAACTATATACAGCCTAAGTATCAAACTAATAAACATTCTAAGGACCTGACAAAGAAACATGTACACCCTAAGTATGAAACCATTAAATATTCTAAGGACCCGAAAAATAACCATGTACAGCCTAAGTATCAAACCATTAAACATACAAAGGACCTGACAAAGAAACATGTACACTCTAAGTATGAAACCATTAAACATTCTAAGGACCCGACAAAGGCCCGTGTAGGAGGAGGGGTGGGGGTACCCTAAGTATCAAACCATTAAACATCCAAAGGGCCTGCTAAACAACCATGTACACAATAAGTGTTAAACCAATAAGCTAATTCGAAAATTTTCCGTAAAAAGTAAGCAATATTTTAAAGGACCTTATATCTGATGGAACAATATGGCAGCTCTTGACTTGGTCGATCGACGGCGAGCACAGTTGATAAAGCGTCGGTCTAAAGTTCGGGAGGTCCCGCGTTCGAATCCCGATTTGGCCGGCAAACTTTCGTTCCTATTACATAATTTGTGTTTGTATTATATCACCTACGTGAAACTGTATTTCAATATTTATTATTATTCTTTTCATTTCTTCTCAATCGAAGATTTACAACCAGAACAATATAAATCTGCATTAATTGAAAGTAAATTAAAGTGAGTGCTCATAACAATATGCATTCATGCAATTTAAACAGTAGTTGTAATACAAAGTACAGTGCCTCCCGAGTTAACTCCCCTTTGCGCCGCTACGCACCTAACGTATTTCAGTTTAGCGAAGAGAGAAAACTAGCATAAGAAAAAAAATATGGATGTGTGATACAAAGTATGAAGCTAAGGTTAAAACTCGGAAGTAGATTTGTAGTAAAGTTTGTACATTCTGTATACGCAATTCACATATTTTATACAGAAGTCATCTAACTCCGATGTAGTCAAATCATGTTCTACATTTTCTCCAGTGAGGTTATGAAGGATCATAATCAGAACTTGGCCGTAAATAAACGCTTAACATAATGTGAATTTTGTTGATGAACTATATGAGGAGCGATATCACTATACATGAAACCACATTTATGACATAATTCCTCACACTCTAACAGTCTAAGCAGCCCTATTAATGTCGTCAAGACACACAGAGTTTGCTCCCTTATTCGTTAAACCGCCTCCCCGAGAAACCGCACCAAAGTACGTACCGTACGCACATAATGCGACAACATTGTCCACAAATGATTTTACACGTGGTGGGCACAATCGTACAATCAAACAATCGTTCACGCTGTTGTGCACTTATGTTCTAACAAATACGATTTTGTTACGAATATAGTAACGAAATGAACAAGAATTATATTTAAAACGTAAGCGGCAGAGTTTCCATGAACATGCATGTAAATGAGTTTATGAATGTGAAAAAGCTATAAACATTTTACAAATGGACAGGCAAAAAATATAATTAAAATTGATAAATGGAACAAAAAGACTCATTTTATGATAAGCAGTAAAATATGGGGAGGTAACACTAAAGTTTGCATAACACCTTATCATGCATGTCCTTTACATATATATTCTTACACTTTGATGACAAACACGCAAAACATCATTTATCTGTTCAGCCGCTAGATCGGACTGAGTAGGTATTTATTCAAAATACATGATTTAAATAAAATATCATTACCTATCGTTATATAACGCCAAGCGCTACACCTAACCTGGGATATTTAATTTACAGGCGACAGCGGGTGTACCAGCATCCGACTGTGCTGACGATTGTTTTTGCAATGTGTGGAAATTTTACTCGTAAAACCTAATGCCTACGTATCACCGTATACTACCCAGCACACGTTACTCAATAGTCAAGAACGATACATTTAATCTTTGCTCAATAATAAAACTAAGTGAATGGTGACTCATTTATTAAGAGAAGTTATGGACACGTTCTTGAGCCTTGAAT